ATACCTAAGTGAAGTGACTCTTGAATGATAAGATATATGACTAAACTTATAGAGTGGACTTAAGGAGATATTTGGAAAGCTTCCTGGACTACCTAAATGGAATTTAGGATTCCATGGAATAATTCTGGGATATAAAGAACTATGATCATTGTACTCTATAGATAAGATAAGAGGTAAGGCAGAGGGAACATTCAGTCTATGTAAAATGTTAGAAAGAAATATAGGATTCTAAGAGAGAAATATAAAAGAATCACCAAAAAGTCAATAAATGATGAAATTCTAAAAAGGCTGAGAGATGACGGATAGAGACATAATATCTTGTAATATTGTGACTGTATTAAAAACTAATAGAAACAAGTAGAAAGTATAAATTGGGAAAATAGTAACACATATACAGACATATAATAGAATTTATTATAACCACAAATATACTAAGGTTAGGAGGTGGAAGATTATGATTAGGTACATTTAAATGTATTATCATGATTAACAGTGTGCAAAAAATATACTTGAATTTATAGCTTTTAAGGATTATAAATTCAGGGGATTTAGAGATATAATCCAGGGACTGATTAAATTTTATTAATAATTGGTTTTATTGGTGTTTATAGAAAACTGAGATATTGAAAATATGGTAGAACTTGAGTAATACTTAAAATATTAAAATATTTGTGATTTAACAGGGGTCAACAAACACATTGTATGAATGAATGTAATTGATGCTTAAGTATATTTTTGGAGAAAGTGATAAAGAATCATAAAGAGAGAATAGTACTGTTTAAAGATAAAGAGGTAAATATAGAAGAACCCCAACAAGTAGGGGGGGAAATAAGTACAAATTGGGAAAATTGTATTATATACATTGATACATAAAATAATATATTATAATTAGAATGAGCATATTAAGGTTAGAAGTTGGAAGATAAAAACTATGTATATGGAATTGTATTATTATTGTTAGCACTGTGTAAAAATGTATTGACCCAGTCATTATACTGTCTACAAAATATGTTGGTTATTAAAGGAAAACTACAAATAAAATATATACAGATGATAGTTTGATTGGTGGGATCCAGAGCATATTCACTCTGTATCATCATAGAGGATGGGCAGAAATGTTCAGGTGATCTCCCAGATAGCCAGGTTCAATGCTATGGAGGGATTTATAGGTGGTAACCAACATTCTGAATTGCATCTGGAAGCCCACTTATAGTAGCTTTCTGTATTTCATTTCCATCCATGAAGAATCCCCATGTTAGTAACATTCCACACCCTTGACAAAATTACTTGTAACCTATCAAAGCCTGTGCTACAATAAATACATGAGTATTTATATGCCTCAAAACTGAGTTGCTTTTGTTGCTTCAAAGTAATAAAGCTACCCTGCTAGCCTTTAGAGGCCAGTACAAAATGTTGAGGTCATTAATCAATTCACCATGTTAAACTCTTTATAATTATAGAAGTTGAGACATTGCCATTGGGAATAGAAAAGCAATAGTGCATCTCTCATGCTGCATGATTTTTAATTGATGAAAACACAGTTCCTAGACATCTGGTCACAAATGAGCTACTTGTTTAAAGAGATTATTTGTAGTTCAGAATTGAACTGTGGGGTTTTTGGTGCTCTTTGAGCTTCATTGTTTTCCTGCAGATGTTTCATTAACAAACTAGGTAACATCAATACTGCAATGAGCTTCAAGACTTAGGACTGCTGGCTGAGTAATCAAGGCCATCAGCCACTGACCTACTGGAAGAAAAATTGTTTACTCATCACAAATATACAAAGACTGAAAACAAAGAAATAATTATCTATTTTTACAAATCAAGTCCAGAAAGAAGAGGTATCTCAAAAGAATGAACCAGTTCAAAGAAGGAAAAACATCCAGGATCAGAAATAACAGTGCAGAGGCTAGGAGACCAATACTGATTTATAACATGAAATAAAGTATGTATAGAAGCAATATTGGAAGAACTGCAAAATTCTACCCAAGCAAAGAAATCAAAGCCTTGCCAGAAGTGACTCAGCCTGTAGAAGCAAACCAAGCCAACATTGCTATTGAATCATTTACACTCGTGGTCCAGGCACCCTCTCCTCAGCCTTCTCCTCTGAAAGAACAAAGCTCTCTAATTAAAAAACATAGGAATCTAAACAAAGAATAACTGAACATCTAGAACAACACAAAAATAACAGAATAAGGTTGTCTGCACTGAAACTTGTTCCAAAGAAACAGCTAGTACAATGTTAAAAGATACCAATACTGTGATATCAAATATAAGCACCAGCTCACTGCAGCAAATAAACCAACTCATGTACCATATGGCTGCAGTTGTAATTGAATGCCTTGGATACAAAATCAAGAAATAAGAAGAAAAGCCAAACAGCACACACCACCAAACTCAAGCTGGATAATAAAATCAGCATGCTAAAATTAGGTGCAAGAAAGCTAGAATAGATGAAAGAAAAGAAGCTGAAGAACAAGAAGACCAAGGAATATCTGATGAAGATATATCACCTAGAAATGTGGAAGATTAAGGAAGCACTGAAAATAATAAAGCAGCAAATAACAGCTATAGCCAAGATAAGCAGATATGAAAAACAAATTGCACACTATAGGCATAATTGCCCATTTCAGTTGAATCAGAAAATATCTACCTGGCTATCAGATATCAAAAATATCTGCCAGGCTGTCTTATACCTGGATGATCTGAAGCTGTACGGAAATCAGCATCTGAAATAGAATGATTGCTTAACGCTATCCATAAATACAGCCAAGATATGGAGTTTGCCATCCTCACCATCAATAAGGGAAAATCAGTGATAACTGAAGGAATCAAGATGCCCTATGGAAATAACATCAAGAGTCTAGATGGGTAACCTTCAATCTGACAACTTCAAGCACACTGAAATCAAGAAGAAAATTAGAAGGGAACACATCATAAGAGTGAAGAAGACCTTAAAATGCAACTCAGTGGAGGAAATACCATTAAGTCAATTAACATCTGAGAATTTTCAGTCATTAAATACATTAAATACACAACTAGAATAGTAGACTGAAGTCAAGTAGAATTAAAAGCCCTGAATAGGAGAACAAGAAAAATAAAGACAATGAATCATGCCCTTTATCCACATAGAAATGTTGACAGATGCTACTTACCAAGGAACATTGGTGGCTGTGGAATGCTGCAAGTACACCAGACAGATTAAGAATAAAAAAGGGCATTGGAAGAATATCTGAAGGATAGTGAAGAAGATACACTGAAGCTAGTATACCAGGAAGGCAGACTGAATACTGGAGAGACCAAACTGGCCTACAAAAAACCCAAATTCAAAGAGTCAAATATCTGCCACATAGCATTCCAAATTTAACCATTGTTGATACGAAAGACAAAAAACCCAAGAAAATTGATGACTATTTATTATGTATTACAGCCCCATAGAAATGGAGGCAGAGGTTTACTTCAAATCAAACTATTGAAGAAGAAAATCTTACATTGTCTGATTATGTAAAAGACAGCCAAGAAGAAGCACTGATGTTAATAATTGAAATTTATGGAATTTACAGTAAACAAAACATGAATATCAAAATAATGTAATGTAATAATGTAATGAAGATACAAGCAGAATTCTGAAAAGGAAAAGCATTACATGGTCAATTTCTATAAAAGTTCTAGAAAAAATGAACAGAATTTAGCAAGGAATGGCTTACAACTGGAATATTAAAATAAAAAGAAACTGAAGGGTTGATTTTAGCTGCTCAAGAGCAAGCTATTTAAACTAATACAATCAAGGCAAGAACTAATAAATCATAGAAAAGTGCTGATTGTGCAAAAAAGCAGATGAAACAGTACATCCATACTCATCTTGTGCAAGAAGATGGATTACAACTTACAACAGTTCATTTAGTGACTGTTCAAAGTTACAACGGCACTGAAAAATGTGACTTATGACTATTTTTCACAGTTATGACATTTGGAACATCCCCATGATCATGTGATCAGAATTCAGATGTTTGGCAACTGGCTCATATTTATGACTGTTGCTGTGTCCCAAGGTCATGTGATCACCTTTTGGACCTTCTGTCAAACAAAGTCAATGGGGAAGCCAGATTAATTTAACAACCGTGGCAACAAAGGTCATAAAATGAGGCAAATGTTTCACTTAACAACAGAAAATTTGGTCTCAATTGTGGTCGTATGTCAAGGACTAGCTGTATAAACAATAATATAAAACAGTAGCCAAAATATTCACTGGGATATTTGTAAAAATTATCATGTGACTAATGAAAAATTGGTGGGAACATAGAATTGAAAATATAGTTGAAAATGACAAGGTTAAAATATTATGGGATTTTCAAATACAAACTGATGCAGTCTTGGCTCATAATACACCATATTTAACTGTGACTGAAAAGAAGAAAGTATGAATAATTCATGTGGCAATATGAGAACATAATACAATTGGAGAAGGACATAAAGTATCAAGAAAACTGAAAACTGAAACTGAAAGATTATGGCATAAACTAGCTGGGGCTGTCCTAGTTGTTATGAGCACACTGGGTACCACATCAAAAAATCTTGGATGGCACAGAAAAATGTGTTGACAAAATTTCCATCTGTCAATTAGAAAAGGCCACATTGTTTGGATCTGCATGTATACTAACATCAATACATTATGACCTCCTAGGTTCTTGGAAAGAACTTGATGCAAATGAAGGCCAACACCAGAACAACTAAATTGTTGTGAACAGATAATAATAATAATACTAAGAAGAAGAAGAAGAAGTAACAGAATAGTAATTAATAGTGACCAATAAAGAAAATCCAAAGATTAGCTTTAAATTTCATACTACAACCAGATCATTCTATGACATCACAATTAGCACCACCACTCTGTCAATATTAACATTTTTCAGATTCATGCCACTGTAGCAGATGAAGATGAGGAAACAGACAAACGTTTCAAAAAGATTAATAACATGCTACAATAAGCAAAAAGACATGAATTATCTTAAATTGAAGATTCCATCTGAAATTGCTAAAGAGAACATATGAATATTTGATAGGTAAATATGGCTTAGGTGCTAGAAATAAACATTATGACTATCACATGTTACAATTCATGTCTTTAGGTTCATACTAACTTGATTCTTCCATTAGAGATAGGCAGTCAACCATACAATGTATAAGGATTCATCTGTCTGCTATAGTAAGCACCTTATAATCATACCACTAAAGTTTGGAGTTGCTTCTGATATGAATTTAGCTGTGATGGAAATTATTTTGGTATGGTTCTTATTTAAGCAATAAATATGAAATAACTTCTGAGCAGCTCCAAAGTTAATTTAGATCTGCATCACAGGATTAAACAAATTAATAGAATTAGTTTGTTACAGATACTGTACAATTTCTGTTACAAAAGCTGATCGTTTGATTTGAACAATACAACAATTAATAGTATAACATGCTATGCATTTATATTTGCAGATAAACTTGGATATGCATTTGTAATCATTGCAACAGAAAGCTTATGTCCCACCTGCTGCTTCCTCAAGAGATAGAGCAGAAGATAAAATCAGCTTTTGATATCAAATATCGTAATCACTAGTCATGTTTGATATTATAAGAATTTGAGTTGAACACAACTAGACAATATAAGTATAATTCAGGAGTCTTTGATTAATCCAAACTGGGTAAAAATACTCCAAAATGTTTTGTGATTATATTAAATAGAAATCTTTGTTGGTCAAATGTGATTGGACACACAAGGAATTTGTCTCCAGTGCATAAATTCTCAGTGTACATACAAACAACAAAGTGATAAGTCATAGATCATAAATCATAAAATGCAACCATAAATCATAAGATACAAACAACAATTGATAAATCATAATAGAGGTGAGAAAGAGGAAAAAGATGAGAAGATGGCAAGGATAATACAATGCAGTTTACTACATACCCTGTTTACCCCAAAATAAGACATCCCCTGATAATAAGGCCAAGTACTTATTTTAGGGTTCAAAAATATAAGACAGGGTCTTATTTTCGGGAAAACACGGTAGGTAAATATCTTTAGGCATAAGACAGTGCTGTAGGAGTTAGGTGTTTAGCAGAGTGATGGCATGGGGAAGAAACTATCTTTGTGTGTAGTTGTTTTGGCACACAATGCCATATGTAGATATTTTCTCAGCCCTCTTTCTGGTTTGTACAGTATACAGGTCCTCAATGGAAGGTAGGCTGGTTGCAATTGTTTTTTATGTAGTCTTAACTATCCATTGAAATCTGTACTTGTCCTGTTAGGTAACTGGGCCAAACCAGACAGTTATTGAGGTACAAATGACAGACTCAATAATTCCTCTGTAGAACTGTATCAGCAGATCCTTGGGCAATTTGAATTTCCTGAGTTGATGGAAGAACATTCTTTGTTGTGCCTTTTTAATGATGGCTCTAGTGTTAGGTGTCCATTTCAAGTCCTGGGAAGTTATAGAACCTAGAAACCTGAAGGTCTCTACTGTTGATGCTGTGTTGTCTGAGAGGTGGTAGAATAGGAGGGCTTCTCCTAAAATCTACTATCGTCTCTACAGTTTTAAAAGTGTTCAGCTCCAGATTGTTCCAGTTGTAGCACAGGGCCTACCTCCTGTCTGTATGCAGACTCATCATCATCTCAAATGAGACCAATGATTGTTGTGTTATCTGCAAACTTCAGTTCTTTAATAGAGGGATCATTCAAGATGTACTGTAGGCATTGGTATATAGAGAGAAGAGTAATGGAGAGAGCACACAGCCCTGGGGGCTCCTATGCAAATTGAACGGGTATTCAATGTGATTTGACCTAGCTTCATCTGCTGCTTCCTATCTGTTAATTTATAGTCTATCTGCAAGTGTGGTTAGGCACAGCTAGTTGAGTCAGTTTAGAGAGAAGGATTTCTGGAAATTCCAAACTTTAAGTAAGTTAGGTCGATGATTATTATTTTTTTTAATATATTTGGGTTTTCTTTGTTTTAATTGAATCTTTTCTGTGACTGGCCAATAAGATTTGTAGTAATCCAGGATCCATTAGTTTAGGCTGAGATTCATTTTGACATGCTGGTTAAGTGTATAGGTTCCCTATAATTTCTCATGCCATTTATGGGTGCAGATCCACTCATATTTACCACCATCATGTCTAGCCAATGTGGGCAATTATAGTAATGCAGGAGGGGAAAAAGAAGAGCAATAGAACCCATCATATAGAACAAACATCATCATAGAAACATTATCTAGAACTGCTGTAGATCCCTAGAGAAGGCAATAGTTATACAATCTTCCTTTGGACTGATAGACTGTAACAAAATGCCATTTAAATACTTCATATGTAACATAAGGGTGTTACTGTATTTTCATTTTATTAAAAAATAGGTTTATTTTGACAAACATTATTGTTTTTCCCAACATCAGCTTTCTCTAACATAGTCACCTCCCTATGCGTTGGTAATTCAAATCCCAAATTTACAAACTAATTGGTTGTGCTGTTGGGAAATTCTGGGAATAGCAAACCCAACATATCTGGAGAACACTAAATAGATGGTTAATTATATAAAGAGGAAAATATTTTCAAGAAGGTGAAGCTCTAAGCCATTCTTTCTTGCTATGTTGCTTCTAAATAAATTATAAATAGTAGGCTAAAGACCGCAGGATATATTTTTTTAATCAGTAGAATTGATGCATACTGTAGAGTTTAGAGGACTTATTTACATACACTCTCCATTCCTTGGTTGGCTACTCAAATGCCTGCAGCTGGACTTTGCATAAACGTTGTATAGTTAATTGGCTTCTGCATGTTAGCTCTTGCTGCCATAGCTAACTACCTATGAAGCCAATCTCCAGTTTTTCAGTTTTGCAGCACAGTGTCAGTGGCATTGAAACTTACAAATATTTTTCATTGAATTCAACACTGTCTTATACATGTTAATAAGTTTCTTTCAAGATGTCATCAAAACTTAAGGATTTGATTAAAGGATCATTCCGGATATTGAAGTACACTATATTAACTGGTCAAATCTGGTACAGCAGTTGAAATAAAATTAGATAAGTGAGGGGTCCTTGGTGCTCTCTGAGCTTGGTTGTTTTCTTGCAGACATTTCATTACCCAAACTAGGTAACATCATCAGTGCTAGTGGGATTTGCTCTCAGTTTATATTCTGGTGGCTTGCCCTATTGATGGGAGTGGTCTTAGAGGTTCTTTGGTTAGACTGTTTACCTTTGGCTTGTTTGACAGTTCTTTGACTGGGGTATTGTTTCCTTCATTGTTGGTCTGATGTTAATCTTGGATTTAATCTCTGCTCATCTGGGTGCTGATTGCTGGTGGGGAGGAGTTTTGGTCTTTTTGTTCCCTTTTGGGCTTGTTGACTGTCTGTTTGCATAGTATGTGGATATTCTTTATGTTGATGGGTCTATTGATGGCTCATTTGTCAGAATGCCAGACTTTTAGAAATTCTCTAGCATTTTTTGGACTTGGTCTAAGAGGGTCATAGTTTCCAATTGAAACTATAATTTATAAATGAAATTATAAAAATTAATGCAAGACATGAATCTTCAGAATCAATAACAAAGTCAAACCTATTGATCACCTCTTCAACTTGACCACAAATATGCATATATATATATGCATACATACATACATATATATATATATGCATACCTACATATATACATACCTACATATATACATACCTACATATATATACCTACACTTTTGAAAGTGATGAATAGAGATTTCATCCCACCATGGCCATTTTAACATAGGAAAAAAACCCTGATTGCAAAAATATCGCACATTTATACCTATGAATCAAGAAATAATATTTGACTCTAGTCACAAAATATGGGTGTGTCTGGCTGAAGATTTCGATATAGTGCTATCCCAGTCTCCATAAGTCACAGAAGAAACAACATAAAATGTCTGACAGGTCTGAAAGTGATGAATAGAGATTTCATCCCACCATGGCCATTTTAACATCTTTCAACATAGGAAAAAAACCTGATTGCAAAAATATCGCACATTTATACCTATGAATCAAAGAAATAATATTTGACCTCTGCAGGGAGGAGTCACAAAATGGTGTGTCTGGTGAAGAGGTCTAAAAGGCCGAAATAGTGCTATCCCAGTCTCCCATAAGTCACAGAAGAAACAACATAAAATGTCTGACAGGTCTGAAAGTGATGAATAGAGATTTCACCATGGCCATTTTAACATCTTTCAACATAGAAAAAAAACCCTTGATTGCAAAAATATCGCACATTTATACCTATGAATCAAAAGAAATATATATATATATATATATTTGCAAAGCAACAAAAAAAGATAATCTTTTCAATTTAAATTCTACCTCATGCTTCTAAAAAAATTGTGTTGTAAGTTGTAGCTTCAATAGTGAGATGGTTAGCATATAAATTTAATAAATAAATCATATATCGCAGATGCTGAATGCTGTTATTAGGAAAATGTATTAGCATGGGTTCAAATGATCTATTTAAAAATTGCAAGGCTGTAGTGTTCATCATTCCAGCTGGCAGGGTGATTAAAATTTCTGTTTCAGTGTTCAGAGTTCATCCAGCTTTTGTGTGTGCCTTGAAAGCAAATTTATATTCCCATCTACATTGTAAGGTCTCTCCCTGTCTCTCAGGCATCATGGCTCAGCAAGCCTACATGGAAAGTGACAAGGATGCTCCTGGTGCTAAATATAACCAACCTTTTGGCCTGTTTACAAAAACTGACAGTCAATTGAAAGATGAGGGTGACAGACTGCTACTGAAGAAACAAACCTTGCTCTTAGTTTTAAATGTTAACTTTAAGTTTGCAGTTTTAAATTACATTTAGAATTTAAAATTTAAGACATACCGAAAGTTATCCAAATAGACTTCTGCTCACACAGTACGAGACTTGCTTTCATTCTTTATGACCTATATCTCTTCCTCACTTCCCACTGCCCAATATTCTCCAGCAGATTCCCCAATCTAAATGTTTCACTAAAAGAGTAACATCAGTTGGTATAATTCCTAGATGCTACAAAAGTGTGTGTGTGCATGTTATTTTATTTAATTTATATCTCACCCAGGGGTGGGTTCTACTTATCTTTACAACCAGTTCGCAATGGAGCCATGCACAGAAGCATGCGCAGAAACATTCTGAGGATGTTGGGGTCGGTGGATGGAGCCTCCCGCCAGTTTTACTACTGGTTCTATAGAACCGGTGCGAACCAGGGGTAACCCATCACTGATTCCACCTTTATTTTGTAAGTAACTCAAGGTAGTGAACATACCTAATAATCCTTCCTCCTCCTATTTTACCAACAACAACAACCTTGTGAGGCGAATTGAGCTGAGAGAGTGACTGGCTCAGATTTTCATGACTAAGGCACGACTAAAACTCACAGATTCCTGATTTTTAGCCTAACAGCTTAACTACTAGACCAAATATATTTATTTGTGGTATATTCTTGGAGGAGTGCCATATACTCAGTCAGTAAAAAGACACAAAAACCTGAAATACATGTAAATACCTTACATTAATATAACCTCTTACATATAGGAATCAGCCTGCATGATACTGTTTGAATGGGTGACTCATGACAATTCAGTCAATGCCTTATACCAATTTAGTAGCCAATGGTCTTAAGACAAAATTCATGCGAAAAACATATACTGCATGCAACATCACTCTGAATATTTTATTCAGTTCTGTAGTTCGTATGTATGGCAGAGAAAGTATATAAACTTAAGGTACTATCTCAATTATTCACACTCATCCAACTTAGATCCCTTAGCAGTGAAAGAACAATGGGTACATATTGTAGCAGAAACCACTAAATCCAGTAAAAGATAAGTTTAATATCAAAGTAAGACTGCTCAACATTTTGTCTGAGCAGAACTTAAATTTACTGACTGTATTTTAATCTGCCTCTGTCTCCATGTTGATAACACCTACTAAGACTTTGGACAATTTCTCACAGTTGTTTGTTCCACATCAAGCATTATTGGCTGGGAAATAGGAGCTGCAGTTTGAGCATAACTGCAGAGCCCCAAGATGAGAAAGGCTCATCTCGATGAAAGGTAGAAACCTGCAGAGCTCCCAATGACAAAATGTACAGATTGAGACATATTATTTCCACTTTCTAGGATGTGTCTCACCATAAAAATAAGAATTATTTCCAATTTCCAGTCCATGTCAATTCAGAAGGATACCGTGAAGATTGATACAGAAAGTGGCTGACATGGCCCTATAGATGAACAGTCAGTATTCATGTTTTTTCCCAGTTTGAGTCTGAGTGAAACTAAATTTACTAAATATTTTATTATCTACAAACAGCGACACAGCATAGTCAATATATACTTAATGTCCTTTTCAAAAGTGAGGCATAGGATGGTACTTAAATAGATCCACTGGAAACATCAATATATTTCAGAGGCCTTATTGCTTATTTAGGGAAAGTTGTCATTCCTAAAAACTGTATGAGCAGCCCTCCTCAACTGGAAACAGTTCTTTAAAAATAGCTGACATCTCCAAAAAGTCCATTAAAGTATGTGTGTAAATGGATGCAAGCATCCATGCAAATTCAATCAGCCAACTGACAATTTTTATATGTTTTATAAATATATAATATATAAAATTCTATAAAATATATATTTATATATATTATAGTACACTTATTGCATAATATATTAAATGTGCTAATCAAATGGAATAATTGTTTTAATGCAAGAAAGCAGAGCAACTCCATGCAAAGGCCAAAGCAGGTGGCTCAGTGGCTAAGACACTGAGCTTGTCGATCAGAAAGGTCAGTGGTTAGAATCCCTAGTATAGGTCTCCTGCGTGAGCAGGGGGTTGGACTAGATGACCTCCAAGGTCCCTTCCAACTCTGTTACTGTTACTTCAAGAAGCTGCTTAACAAGCATTTTCTTTATTGTTGTTCGTCTATTTTACAAGAATCTCACCAGACTGATTTGGGAAACAGGAGATAAGAGCTCCACTAGTCTGGCCTTTGTTGTTTCCTCCCACAGAGTGACTCCATGCTGCAATTCCTCTCTACTCTCCCCTCTCCTTTGGGTGGTGATTCTTTGGTGTCGGGCTACAGGTCCTTCCTTTGAACCATGCAAAATTCTTTTCAATTAATTCTGAATCTGAGGTTTAAAGCAGCCTTACTCCTAAAATAAATTATAAGACAATAACTGTGTGATTTTTAAAGGGGATGGAAAAACAGAGTTTTATTCTTCCCCTCCATTCATTTCCTACCCAGCCAAATATAATCTGATTTTTTAAAAAAGATGTTTATTGAATACAAAACTTATAACCAATGCAAATCAAAATCAAGGTGGGATTTGGGCAGAACAGAGCAACAGAAAACAAAACAAAACAAAAAACACCCAGAATACATCCAGACACAGAACTGAATGCTAATCAAGTGTGGAAAGCAGAAAGTGCTGGCTTGATTGATAACCAAAAATTCTATAGTAAATTCCAATATGGGACTTCTCTCTACTCTTTATCTAGTAGGTACTCTACACTGTTTTTGCAATATAGATAACTTGTTTATTTCACACTAAAACACTTTTGGCTGATAAAGTACAATCTGAAGATGACAGACAAAAAGGTGCCATTTTGACATTTAAAAATGGTAATGGCCTAGAGGGCCACTTTCCCTTTAGGCTAACAATTTAGATCTCATTAACTTCAATTATGGTAATGGATGAATGTTGGTCGTTGTTACTTGTATTCATGAAATTTATGAAGACTGCAGTTCTCCAATGAATAAAAATTCTGATCTCGAAGTTATAACAGTATTATTTTTTTTAAAAAAAGTTTGGTGAAATTTTTTTTTTCAGAACAAAAAATGCATAATAACGGCACCCTGTCTGGTATACTGGAACCATGAGGCATCATGATAAAACAAAGTTATACCTCTGTGCCCTGCGTTGTCATTGTTTCATCACATTTTCTTCTCTTCCTATTTACTATGGATGGAAGAGATGATGAAATGAAATGAGTAATAGTTACAGAAGGGGAATAAATAAATCTCTTTAGATTTATTCTGTTTTGTGAGAGACAAAGTGAGACATAGTCCCTGTGTTTATTCCCCCCACCCTCTCCTAACATGAATGACTCTGACTGCTGCTCTCACTGAGCATTAAAGAGACTGTAGATGTCACTCCCACCGAATGCATAGATTATGTCAACAAGAGAGAAAACTTTATAAGCCAACCATTTCAGCGTATTTTGTGGCTCTCGTTTACTCTCCAATTTAATTTACTTTTGTGACTGAGGTTTTAATGTCAGCCCTCTTAAACCTTTCAGCTTTGGACTCAATACAAAGTTTTTAAATATTTGAGATTTTAAAGAATCTTTTTTAAAAAGATTTTTAAAAGAATCTTTAAAAATACATCTTTTTTTTGAAAAAATTAAAACATGTGACAATTTATATTCACTTTCCATACATTTTAATAATGAGCATTTTATCTTAATACTTTCCTTAAAATGTATCAGGTATAATAAATGGAATAATGCCTTTTGGATCTTCTTTTGCAGTTTTATTGTATACATCAAGCGTTCTGATGGAGCGGGGAAAGGAGGACTACCTGTATTTATACACTTTCACATATATTTATATAATTTTATATATAAGCAGTAGAGAAATCAAACTTTGTATTTATGTAAACACAGAGAAAAAATACACAATAATGCAAGCCACATGGTCTAACTATTTTAGCCCAAAATTTAATTAAAAATTTTAATTTGAAAACAATGCATCTAGTATTCCTTATGGATGGTTATATTTACAGTATTATTAATTAGTTATGCAACTCTAGAAAATGCCATTGCAATCATAAATTTACTTCTTGGAATTATTTAAATACATCTGACCATATGCAGATATAGGAATGTATACACATCAATACTTATTTCACATCTGAGCTTTCTTTGATTAAAAAAAATGAAGATTACAAACACTCATACCATATCAAGGAACTCCACAGTTTTTTGGAATATAATCTCTAGAGATAGTTCATTACCTATAAATATCCATCAGATTTAAATGGGACAATAGAAATAAATATACTAATCCTAAATAGGAGTAAGTGTTTTTTTTAAAAAAATATGTACAATCAATTGTTGATTTTAATTAAATATAATCTATTTAGAATATAGTTTTTCAAGCATTCAAACTAAAGGACATTCTCTACAGTCACTTGGAAATAGCCAATTCTTTTGTGGCTCGTAAAGCCAGCACGGTGTTTCTTTCTCTTTTAACTTTGAATTGCCTAGCTGGTTTTCTTCTGCTTTGGGGTTTTAGTAAATACTTTCAAAAATACTATAAAGAGGATTGCATTCCAACAAAGTTCTTCCAGATGTATGATAAACCATATTCATGACAACAAAGGTGGTCTGAGCCTGACACGGTTGGAACACAGACAGAAACTAATGATGCAAGGCTCATGTTCAGTCTGGCAAGGAGGACAACTGTTGTGGCAGCCATATGACCCAGAGGGGCTGAATCAATTTGGCTGTTATGCAGCTTTGATTATGGCTGTCATCTGCTATAGAAACAAGATGCACAGACTGGTCATCTGGATTCCAGAAAGATAATGATGAACAGCAAAGGTGAGAAAAGAGTTCTTGCTTACAGAGACCAAAAAAAGGCCACAGCGAGATGGGCACATCGAAGTGCTTTCCTTTAGCCTCTGAGCTGGCAGAAAAGCATACAGGCACAAATTGCACTCCTCTGTTTGCTAGTCCATATTT